TGTGAATGAAGACTGAGTTTAGCTTAGGTCATGCTATCATGAAGTTCAATCCTTATGTTTATGGCCTTTGTTTGATGCCAGTTTTACCTCCTTGTTGAACACAAGCCCATCAGAATGAAGTTGTAGGGTGCAATATGGAATTCTCTTTTCTTTCAATATGTAACTCTGAAAAATTGTAAGAATCAGTGACTGCCTTTCTATGGGAACCATAAATGCTTGCCTATTCATATGTGTAGCTATAGAAAAAACTTGAGAGGTTCTGCCACATTGGCTGTCTAGGTTGGCCACTTGCTTCACATTTAACTTTCAAGGAAATAGGATTCTTTCTCTTGACCGAGAAACTTAGTTGTGATCGAATAATTGAACTTTCATTTCCATCAATGTTGTAACTTTATTTAATCATAAATGTAACTGTCAGTGGTACCTTCATTTGTAATCTTGATTTATGGCTGATTCAGGCTTTTCATCGCCATATCCCTATTGTAATAAGAGCCTTAGGTCAGTCTTATTCTCAGTTGCTCCGAATAATATCTGACCCACCACGAGGAAGTGAAAATCTTTTGACACTGGTAGGCTCTATCTTCATTTCTGTTTTGAAAATCTGTTTATACTTGAATTACACTGATAGTGGTTCTGTCTTCTGGCAAGGTGCTGCAAATATTGACTCAAGAGACAACTCCTTCTCGTGATTTAATAGCTACTGTTAAGCATTTATATGAAACTAAGCTAAAGGTTTCTTTCCCAATATTCAGAGCTCCTATATTTCTGCCTCTTACAGTCTTTCCTATGATTATATTTGTGCCATATGAACCCTTGTATATGACTGTTTATTTGCAGGACGCTACCATCCTTATTCCAATGTTATCTTCACTGTCCAAGAATGAGGTTTGTTCTGAATTTTCCTCTTTTTCTTTCTATGTTGACTCACTTAGCAGGACTGTGTATGTTCATTGCATTTCAAAAATAAAGAAAAAATGAACTATCAGTGGTGTTGATCTGAGTTCACATTTCACTTCCATGAAATGGCTCCTTGAATAATCTTGGCAAAATAACTTAAATTTTTCTTGCAAAAGTGGCATTATTCAAGTTGGCTATAAGCATTATTTGTTTTCAGGTGTTGCCTATTTTTCCACGGCTTGTTGACCTTCCATTGGAAAAGTTCCAGCTTGCACTTGCTCACATATTACAGGTACATGTGAATGCTCTATTTTCTGCGATTTTTGTAATTTCTTTTTTTTCATCAAGTATGATAACTTTTTCCCTTACTAGTTATTTTCCACTTTTAGACATGAATTGTCAGGACACGTCGTGTCTGTATATTTGTGTAATCTTACAAGTGACTTCACATTACTGTGTTTTATCATTCTGAAGGAAAAAACAAGACTTTTTTAGAATCAACAAATCTTGAAGATAGTTATTTTGGCTTACGAAATGCTCTTGAATTTAAGTTCTTCTTTTGCTGAGATATGTTTAGCGGATCTCAATATTTTATTTGGGTTGATAAACATCATCCAGAAATAACAATAGTTGTACATTTTTATTTTATGAAGCTGGACCTTTCTGAGCCACTTTAATGCTGGTTTTATCTTTTTCCCCTTTGGATACTTAACTTTCTTTGAAATCTTAGGCCCCTTGTTGTTGTCACTGTTGCTACAGGGCTTTTTGTATTTGCCTGTTTCTTTCTCAGATTTAGCTATAAAGCAAATCACATTATATTTGGTTGAGAATGAGTAAACAAGGACACATACCAAAACATGGTAAATGTGCACAAAAGAGAACTTATCCATAAAAGTTAATTTTTAAGTTTAAAATGTTCGACAATATTTGTTGCATCTGCATCTGGACTTTATTAATTAATTTCTTTTTCTATGGGAAGCAAAGATCTAAGTAAAAGTAGCAACAGTCTTAATTTCTGGTTACTTTTTAAGTCTTTGCTGAGTTATAATGTTGATATGTAGAAAGACACTGTAATTCAAGGTTTTCTTTGATTCTTGGTTCTTCCAGGGCTCAGCTCATACAGGTCCTGCCTTGACCCCTGCCGAAGTGTTGGTTGCCATCCATGACATCATTCCTGAAAAAGATGGCCTTCCACTCAAAAAGGTATGTTGTTTATATAACCGGGTCTGATGGTTTTACCAATTAAAGACACTTCATGCCCGTGCACAAACAGATTTACTTAATACTTAACCAAATAGGATGGAGTAAAACTGACCCACAACCACTCTGCAAAGTATTGTTCATTTTGAGGATGCATAGAAGTTTGTATTTTCTTCTACACTGTTACCCTAGTTGATATTTCTATATGGTTAAAAATTTTCCAGATAATGGATGCTTGCTCAGCTTGTTTTGAGCAGCGCACGGTTTTTACACAGCAGGTTTTAGCAAAGGCCTTGAATCAGATGGTAATGTATATGTCCTCTGTTATCTGGGGTTATCCCATGATTACTTTTATAATTGTTGTAATGTTTTTTCTTTTCTTAATTAAATTCAGGTTGATCAGATCCCTCTTCCCCTACTTTTCATGCGAACAGTTATTCAGGCAATTGATGCTTTTCCTACCCTGGTAGGTCTTATTCTTTATTCACTTCTTTCACGTCTCAGTTCCAAATCATGTCCACTGCCTGGTAAAATCTTTTGTGGCTGTTTCAATTTGGTTTTATGGATGTTTTTGCAAATTATGACATTCTTGATCTTCATCTTAAACCATATTGATGTTGCCATCTGTTTATTAAATCATTTAAGACAAATTTCTGGCTGAGCCTCATTGAGACTCACAACTCCAAAACCAAGTGCCACTGCATGATCAAGATATTTGTGTTGATTTTGCTGCATTGCTTTTCATTACTTTTTCTTATATTTAAGGGTTTGTTGAATAGAAAAATTTTTTGTATGCCAAAAGTCATTGTTAATGCATGCCTTGATATGGCATTGGCTATGGCATGAAGGACATCCAGAAGAACACAAAAATTGACTCAATAATTGTCTGAGCCCTATTATGTGCTGTATCCAGGTTGATTTTGTCATGGAAATCCTATCCAAACTTGTGAACAAACAGGTCAGTGACTTAACATATCATTTCCCTTTGTGAGCTTTGGAAACAAGAACTGCACAACCTCACTGGTTAACCTTAGTTTAATATTTGGCATGGCACGGGGGCAAATGATTTTCTGGCTGTTATTGAGTGTAGGTGTGGAGAATGCCAAAGTTGTGGGTTGGGTTCTTGAAGTGTGTGGCTCAGACACAACCACATTCTTTTCCTGTATTGTTACAGGTACCGCTGGTTCTACTACATAAAAACTGCCCTTTACCCAAGTGCATATGGAGACCCTGCAGCTCGTTGGTCATTATGTCTAGGTTAACACCTTTCTTTTCCTGTTTGGTGATTGCAGTTGCCACCTCCTCAACTTGAAAGTGCACTGAACAAATATGGTAGCCTCAGAAGTTCCCTAGCTGCTTATGCAAGCCAACCAACTACAAAAGGCTCACTGCCTAGGTACAGTTCTCTAGATTCTAATAATTGGGAACCTACCCTGTGGCAGAAACTGGAAAAGAAAAGGAAAGAAAATGCTGGTTTCAACACTTTTACTTCTTTTTGGTTCAACAAGTATTTCATAGCTCATTCAGGATGGTTATCTGGTTCGCTAGTGCAATTACTGTTTTTTTTTTTTTAAAATTAAGAAATTCATTCATTAACAACGAATGAACAATTCCCTGTAAGAAAACAAGTCAGCTCCGGATTTTAGGTTGCTAACAACCCATGTCAACTTAAAATCCAGACTTTGCAACTGTACACAACACAAAGCATCTCAACCAACCCCATCCAAAAAATCCCTTCCAACAAGAATGGTCCTGTACATCAAATCAACCTACATACAAAAGATCCATCACATCAAAATAAGACTGGTTTCAATCAAATCAGTTCTGCATAGACCAACTCATTTCAGCTGCAGCCTTGAAGCTTTAAGCACAGGAGAATCAGACCCCTTGTAAAACATTTCAGGTCTCCAATCTCTGGTGCACCCTGCTTGAATCACCTAGTGCAATTACTGTTAACAAGGCACTGTGAACAAATGTTGGGTCATCGGCCGAAGAAACAAAGAACAAATCGTTGGTTCATAAGATGCTTTCACCTACACTATTGGGAAAACTCTTGCTGGGTCATATTCCTCAACAAATTGGTGGCATTTATTGGATTTTTAAACATAGATATAGTTCATATAGTTTAACATTTGCATTTGCATGCTGGCTCTGTATTGATTTCTAATTGCTTATACTTCTTGGCAGATCAACACTTGCGGTTCTTGGTCTTGTAAATGAATCACGAATGCAGCAACCGCATATGTCAACCTTGCATCCTTCGGACACTTCCTCAGTTCAGGGAGCAACTCTGACGTGATAATTCAAAGCTGTTCAGATTTTTAGAATGGACCAGCTGCACTTCAAGCTGTTACGCGGATCTGATCACCGTGTCAGTCTTGATGCAAGGATTTGATTCACCAAGGGAGGAATGAAAAGATTGGACTCAGCGTATGACCATTGCTCAATCTGGTATGAGAACTAACTCGTTGCTCATAAAATAGCAATTTCTAGCGAGGGGTCACCATTCAAGAGGATTCACTGTCCGCTCCCTCCAGCTGCTTGGAAGATTGTACCATAGTTCCCTTTACATTATTTCTTTTCCTTTTTGAAATTTTGAGTATAACTTACTGCCAAATTCTGGCATATGTAATTAACGCGTGTTTCATTGGGTTGATAGCCCCCAAAAGCGCATAAAAGGCTATCAATGGTTCCCTGGCAAAGGGATCCTATATTCTCAAGAACCTTGAGTTTTTGGTCAAGGGACAGTTCGCTTTTTAAAAGGAAAAATGAATGTCAATATAACAATTGGTTCAAGCCCAATTGTCAAAAGTGGTTCAAGCCTAATAATACAAGAAATGAGCTTGTGAATATTCCTGTTGTTTAGAAATTTCTTTTCCATTTCCTTCCCCTCCCACCGCCCCCCAAATTAATTTGGTGGTAAAGACCCATATTTTGACATACAAAGCTTTCTTTCTTGTTTTTCTAGGCCAAGTTTCTTTATCATGTTAGCTTTTTATGAAGATTTATGCCCAAATAATTTGATACAATAAAATACAGCATCAAAATTCCAAGTTAACAATGTCACTAATGGATGCTACAAAACATCAAACGATACGTACCTGATTTATTTCTATCCGGATGAAGCCTCAGCGCATTTCCAATATATTTATGTAAGTAACGCCTACCAGTATGCAGAAAAAGAAGGGCTAGCACCAATTTGACTCAACGGCAAAGAAATAACTTAGCAGAACCAAAAGGGTATTATATCAGAACTATATGTATAACAAATCAGAGATAACAGAACTCAGGATTATTCTATGGAGAATGAAGTCGACTTACCAAGAGCATGACCAGATGTTTTGTATTCTACTTTATCGCAACGAGCTGCTAGCAACATTCTCTTTTATGAGCTCTGGTGATTCGATGTAAACATGTGCAATATGAGCTATTTTTGGCCAGTCCTTACCTATATTTTTCTTGCAATGTTGTCCAAGCCTTGGACATTCTTGAATAGAAAGACGCTGGAGGGTGCTCAGGCACTCAAGGCCTTCTGGAAGTGATGTCATATTAGGACAATCTGATATCGCCAAAGATCTAAGAAGCGAAAGATTTGCAACCCACTCTGGCAACACATTTAAACCAGGACAACCATGGATTTCTAGATTTTGCAGTGTAGTGACATGTTTAATGCTTTCAGGCAGAGGTGATAGCTCTGGACAGCTTAAAATGCAGAGACTCCTTAGCATGGAAAGGTTATGCCAATCAGTTGGCAAAGACACCAGACGTGGACAGTAAATAATCATTAAGTGTTCAAGAGAACCAAGATGTTGCAGTCCAATTGGTAACGATCTAAGGTTGCTGCAGTTCTCAATAGACAAATATTTGAGGGAAATTAATTTATCTATACTCTGGGCTAAAGTGGAATGGCCGTGACACTCACTGATCTCTAGAGACTGCAAACAGGTAAGATTTTGCAGTTGTTGTGGCAAAGATAAGAGCTCCTCACGTCAAAGAATTGTCAATGAATTTAGAGAGACAAGGTTCTCCAAACTAGGAGGGATGCAGTGAAGCTTGGGACAGGAGCTGATAGTTAGAGACATGAGATGAACATTGTTCTGAAGCAAGTTATCCAATAGAATCAACTGTCCAGTGAAAACACTAATAATGAGGACAGAAAGTGAGGTTACATTTACTGCTGACCTCAGTATCGTTTCATGGCCGTTCTGCAACTCCAAATGCCTAAGAGAAGAAGGTTGTGGCATATTCATCAACCTTGGACATTTACTGACGATTAATTTAACGAGTGAGGGGAATTCTTCCTCCACACTCATGCTCCACCAGAATTCCAAATTAGGGAAGTCTATGAGGGATAGCTCCTTTAATGATGCAAACGATCTGTTTGTGTATTCTCCATAGAACTCACTGCCAATACTCTTCACAGCTTCCATTCCATGCATGTGGATAATCTCTAGCACTGGAAGTCTACCAAAAGCAGGGAGATGCTCACATCTTTTGCAGTTGATCAACACTGTTTTAGTTAAATTAGGAAGTGCAAGAGTACTCATCCATGGTGGAAAATGGATTCCGGGGTACCCTTTTATTGACAAACGTTTGAGATTTTCGGGTGGGTGCAGGCAGTCAAGCACCTTCTCACCCAATCCCCATGCAAAATCATTTCTAACATTTAAGTTCAGCCCATCATGATCATCTCCCCATGACAACTCCAGTGAATGAAGGAATTTCATTTTCAAGATTACTGCATTAACTTCTTCTTTCACATTCTCCATGTTTCTGATTGTCAGCTCGCCCCTGAGCCGCAGCCTCTTCAACTGCCTCAAGTCATCACTCTCGTTTGACACGATAAAGATTGGCAATGTCTGAAGTAGAAAGAGTGCACCAATGTCATCTGGCAAGCAAGGTAACCTTTCACAATTATTTATAATCAGATGTCTCAGCATGCACATTCTCGCTAAGTCCCTTGGCAGGCGAGTTAAATCAGCGCAACCTGAAAGGTTTAGCACTTGCAAGTTGTAGAGGCTACTTACGGTTTCTGGTAAAGTTGCGATAAAGGTATTTGATAGGCCGAGGTACCTGAAATGCTTCAAGCAAGAAACCGTGCTTTGCAGTCTTTTGATGCCACTATAACCCAGATCTAGGACTCGCAGGTTTCTAAAATGTGAGAACAAATTGTCTGGGACTTCACCAGAGCCACCTTTGGGAAACAAAAAAATAAGAGTTCGTAACTTCTTCACTTCATACAAGGCTTCTGGAATAGTACATGATTCAGAATGGCAAACCACAGACGAGTATCGAACCCTAGACAGATTTTTTGGCAGACAATCACGTTCACATATAAAAAACTCTTCTCCAACAACAGATTTTGCAAGATCGTGAACAAGATCATGCATTTGGCACTCTATTACATCACCATCACTGTTTTTCTTCACCTCTTCAAAGAAAAGAGTCCACATTAAGTCATTAAAATAATTGCTCCCAACGTTCTCGAGAGATTTTCTTTCTTCACGTGTTGTAGTTGCTCTCATGGGGTATTCACATGATTCAAGTAAGCCTTCCGCAATCCAAAGATGGATTAACTTCTCTTTCTTGATAACATAATTCTTAGGAATGATTGAGCAGTACGTAAAGCATCCTTTCAGATGTGATGGCAAATGGCTATAACTCAACCTTAGGGCTGGTATATCCCAGTTTCCTCTTCACAAACGTTCCAAAGCTCATTCTCCTGCACAGATAACCACTCCTCTGGCTCTCTTTTGAAGCGCATTAAAACTCCTTGGTGTCTTTGCTGCTAAACGAACTCCCCCACATTTTTTCACTATTTGTTTCCCGATTGGCAACAGGTCTGGATAGTCCTCTTGGTCATGTGCAAAGTCGCGTTGCTTGAACAAAGCCCAACAGTCATCATGGGATAGACCCTTCAAATGGTGAGAAGACACCGTGCCCATGATTGTTAAAACCTTGGCACTTCTTGTTGTGACAATGACTTTGCTTCCCTCTGCACCAAGCTTGAGCAAAATTTTAAGCTTTTCCCAGTCATCCACATCGTCGTTCCATACGTCATCTAATACAAGCAAATATCTCCTCCTGAATAATAGGTCTCGTAGTTGAGACTGACGAACATCCATCCCCAAGAGATCATCACATCATCTCCTGGTTGCAGATTCTACAATCAGGTTAACAATCTCTCTCACATCAAAGTCATTATTAACACATACCCACATCCTCAGTTCAAAATTTCTCATCACCCTTTCATCATTATAGACTAGCTGAGCAAGTGTGGTTTTGCCAAAGGCCCCGCTAACCCACTACGGGAATAATTGAGACAACCTCGTTGGCTCTTCTCTCAGTAGTTAACAGTAACATTTGTACTATCTTTTCTTTATCTTCTTCCCTCCCGATAACTTCAGATTCAATCACAAAAGAACCAGTTTCTCGTTTCTGTCGATTTTTAATCTTCTCATCGGCATCTCTTTTCTTGGGCTTGAAGTTAGACCTCTCCTCCAACAATACATCAAGTCCCTCCCTAATCTGTTTTAATTCAGGCAACTTGTCAGGTACGTCATAAAAGGTCTCAAAAAGGGAACAATATTGCTCACCCGCTCAGTCAAGCTACTGTCGTTTTCTTGCAGCATAGCCTCCGGCCCAAACTCTTCAAGCAAGTCATCAGCGTCAAAAGCTACCTCTTTAAGCTCACTTAACCACAACTTCAAATTTTTATCAGTAGCTTGCTGCTCCTCTGCATCCTGAAGCACAGCCTGGATTGTCCGCACCGCACGCTGAAGCTTCTTGATTTCATCCTTGAACCCACAACGATCGGCAATCTCTTTCAAGAACCGAGAGGCTAGCTTTTCAAAGACAACCTGTAGCAGAGGACACAAAACTATCTCCGCCATAACCTTGCTTGAAACAACCTGCAGAGTTCCTTCTTGCCGCTCACACTGCAACTAAGTTAAAGGTCTCAAGTTCCTAGTAAAATGATTAATCGGCTTCTACCTCAGAGAAAATTGACTTATTCTAAGCAAAAGTGCAAACCTATCATCTCAGTTTCCTTTCAGGTGTCACATCGAGAACGTGTTAAGAGCTTAGAATCTAGCAGATAACGAACCACCGGTGACCCGTCTTCCTCGCATTACAACTCCGGTCAAATCCTTTCAGTCCATTAGTTCTCCATGGTCACGTACCAAGTTGGAACACGTACGTTTCAATTGTCAAAGGTCCCAGCTATACATTCAATCTTGTTTTCCAGTTTTAAAAGTATCAACTGACAACGAAAACCAGCAAGTCAGGGGTCCAACAGGCACGTTAGGCAATAACACCACATGAATGCTTCAATTGAACTTAAGAGAAAGAAACTCAAATTACTAATACTTTGTCAACCCTCTTAACAAATTAAAATATTAAATAGGTCATTGTTGGATTTTCAATTTAAAGTTTCACTAAAATGTAATTTTAGTTCATCTTCCAGACCACATACTATGTGAATTTCCAACTATACCCTTATTGCTAATCCCGTCTTTCCCCGGAAAAGCAAAAAAACGAGTCGTTTAACGGAAATGCATACAAACAGAAACAGAGAGTAAGAACTTTTTCAATCGAAGATCAAATCTAGGATTAGTGCAGGGTTCTGAAAAGAGGGGAGAGCCGAAATGGAAGGCTGGGACCCGAACACGAAGTCGACGCTGACGCAGATCCCGCTATTGACGACGAAGGCGGGCCCCAGAGACGGAGCGGCATGGACTCAGAGGCTGAAAGAGGAGTACAGGGCTCTGATCGCCTACACGCAGATGAACAAGTCCAACGACAACGATTGGTTTCGGATCTCCGCAGCCAATCCCGAAGGGACACGCTGGACTGGCAAGTGCTGGTACGTCCATAACCTGCTCAAATACGAGTTCGATCTCCAGTTTGATATCCCCGTTACTTATCCGGCCACTGCTCCCGAGATCGAGTTGCCCGAACTCGACGGCAAGACTCAGAAGGTGAAATTTGATCTCGCTTTTTCATTTATTGTTAATTGCTTGGTTTTGTAACCTTTTTTTGTTTTTTTTTTCTTTGGGCAGATGTACAGAGGAGGGAAGATATGTTTGACCGTGCATTTCAAGCCACTTTGGGCTAAAAATTGGTATGCCGAATTTTAGGTTTTCATTCCATTTGTTAATGTTGGTGGTTTGAATATGATCCGTTGAATATTATGTTCTCATGATTTGTTTTGCTATCGAGGAAATTAGGAATTGAGAAAGTAGAAGAATTTAACTTAGTATTTTATGTGCTTTTCGTTTGCAATTACTAGTCTAGCAGTCGGGTTTGATAGGAAATGGCAGCCAAAATTTAAAATGAAGTGACTCAAATTAAATGGTCGTTGATGTACTTATGAGCAAAATGTGACCTCTGATCTAGTAGAGGAAGTTTACATGACATTGGATTGAAAGTGTTCATAATATTTGTTGGAACAATTTCATTTTAAGTGCATCAATCATCCTTGAGCTATTGCCCAATGTTCAATTTCTTAGTTGAACAAATCATTTGTCTTGTCAAAAACTTGTTACTTTAATGATTGTCCCAAACAGGCAAGTACTTAACAGTGTTCGCTTTTGCTGGCGCAGTCTAATGGGTAGCAGCGAAACTAGGTTGAGTGGGTTTTTATTTTATATTTTTTGTAATTGGGGGAAAGGAGATTCGAATTTTGCTTTTTAAGTAGGAGGATCATACACCAACTAATGAGTCAAATGTTCGGATGTAAAAATATTCTCCAACCACTACACCAAGGAAGCATCCTTAATTGAGTGGGCTAAGTAGTAGTAGAAATGGAAACCGAAGTTAAATGTGAAGGTAGAGGAAGACATGAAGAGCAAGAGTTGAAAGATAGGTTTTAGTGGGCTAGTACTATGCAACATTAATGTCGGATGGCCATTTTAATCCATTGTAGTCTAGTTTATCTGGTTCAGTAGGTTTTATCTTCATGCTTATTTTCCTCCATTAATAGGAGGCCTACGATGAGAAATGGAAGTTTAAGGATCTGATTGCTCAAATCTTTGTTAATGGGTAGCTGGTGTTATAAACCTTTTGCTCTTATTCATATTGTTTCTGCTAGAATTGTTGCTCAATAGTTCTTTCTTCTCTGATCTTGTTGCGCAGTCCTAGGTTTGGTATAGCACATGCACTTTGTTTGGGTCTAGCTCCATGGCTTGCTGCAGAGATTCCCATTCTTGTGGATTCTGGTATGATCAAGCACAAAGATGATGCGGCCTCATCTAATGAGTCTTAGTATTTTTCATGTTAAAAATGTACCTTGAGTTTCAGAAATAAACGTGCAGGCAAAAAATTGTACAATTTACAGAATGTCTCTTGAAAGTGGTGAATTTATCTGTCATCTGACCTGATAGATACTGTTGAAGCTTCTTAATTTCATAGTTTTTAAATGCAAATAGGATCCAATATTATTTTTCATTGCATTTGTCAAGATGTCATCCCAGGTGCGTGTCCAGCTTTACCCTCTTCTTCTAAGGGGTGGGTGCTTCTTCTGCAAGCCTGGGATCAAATCCTGGGTCCTCCATCTCCAAGGGTAATTATGCTCCTATTGATGTTCCCAAAGAAAAAGGTCGTACTAAAAAGGAGTTAACACCTAATGTGCAAGAGATAGAGTTGTGAGTGTGGTTATCATTCAAATGGTTAAACTTTATTGCTTTCAAGGAGTCGAGATTGCCACATGAGCGTGGCGTTGGTTATATCCGACAGAGCTTAGGTGGCTTTGCTAATAGTACCAGTTCCAGCTACACCTATTGCGGATGGGTCAAGTAACTGCCACTATTGCTTAATAGCAACACATTGACTGTCATTTCCAGAACCTCTTTTCTACCATAAACTTGTGATTCATCATTTCGAGGCCCAGTTTTTGCTTTATCTGTCTCGTCTGAGTGGTAGTGTGCTATGGTGTCCTTTAATTTGAAGTTATTCATCTCCTTGCTACATCATAAAGCTTCCGCCGCATTTTGAAGAAGCCATAAAAGGAAGTCAACTGAACCTTGGTGACTATGATCCCACCAATTGTACCATTCAGCACCCTTTTGATACGCTCTTTAAGCAGGGCTCGACTCTTCGAACAAAGTCATCAGCGTCATAAGCCACTCCTGCATGCTTTGTAAGCAAAATCCTGATCTACTGATCTTTCCGTTGCCGCTTGTCCGCCGGCTTGGATCATCAGCAGCGTGTGCTGTAGCTTCTTGTCCCCTTCTTGGAATCTTGGCGGCACTTTTAAGGTTACCGTGTTACATGAAAAAGCGGTAAGATTGACTGGGAGCCAGCAAAATAGTTTCTTTCAAGCCGAGAAGTGTCCACGAAACAGAGAGCTTTAACAGTAAAATTATAAGCAGCCAACACCTTGACTCACTGACCGGCGACCACCACTGCGTTCCCTTCTCTGGTGGCTGGGTTTTACGTTAGTAGTAGTTCTTGCATGCCATTAGTGAAAAAAGCCAAGGAATAGTAATTCATGAGTCCAACAGCAGCAGGTGCCCCAGATTTGATAATGGATGGTGATAAAACATCAGCCCGTAGAATAAATTAATTATTGCTTCAGGGGAAAGGACTTAAATAGGAAAAAAAACTTGTATTGGAGTTTTACAGCAATAATTCATTGTTCATACATAAACTACATACTATTACCAGTCATTTTGAAGCTTTACTATTTCCATGAATTATTTATACCACACAAATTGGAAATTGTTTCTACCCTGTGACTGTTACAAACGCTCCTGCCAATTAGACGTACATTGCAGGTGACCTTGAAGCACAATGCTGAGTAAACTAGGAAAGCTGCTCACACTGAAATTCAGAAACCTGGAGAGCTGCCATTTGTATGTGCAAGTTGAAAGTAAATTGCAGATGCAGATGACATGTGTACGAGTATGAAATGCCAACATGCCGGACAGCTATATTTGTTTGCCACCGTAGCGTTACTGCAACAAGAACAGAAGTTATTAAAGGGGAGAAATTTTATGGATTTGATTTTACATTAAGAAAATATTTTGCAAATTACACAATCCACCACTTTTATGCTGAACTCATTATCTGGTGTTTACCAATACCCACTTACCATTTGCCATAGGCTTAAGTGGTATAGCATACGATAGTTTCAGTGCATTCCTTAATAAAGAATAACTTAGAAAAAGACAAAGAAAAAAGAGGCAATAAACTAATCCCCAAAATCAAATCTAATTAAATATAGAGTCCTCAGTGATAGTTTATAGCTAAAATGAACAGAAGCAATGAGAAAGAGTCTTACCTATGAACTTGAGGAGCTGGCTGCAGTGTCCCGTCCTATATAATATATGGGATGCGAGATATCTTCTGCCAATCCTCACCTTCCCCTTCCTTGCATCGTTTTTCAAGTTCAGGACAATCTTGAATGGAAAGGTGTTGAAGGCTGAGCTGCTGGATGCCTTCTGGAAGACACTTAATATTTTGACATTCTGAAATTGCCAAAGATCTTAGGGAAACGAGGTTCTCCAAATTCGGAAGTGCCATGAGTTTTGGACAGATACGAATCTCCAGATTTTGCAGCATCTTCATTTGTTGAACTCCTTCTGGCAGAGATGCCAATTCTGGGCAACTTAAAATGGTCAAGCTCCTCAGTGCCAAGAGATTTTGCAGACCCTCTGGTAGACAAGCCAGATTCGAGCAATACATAATTGTTAGGCGCTCAAGGGCTGTGGCATGTTGCATTCCTGTTGGCAAAGTAGTCAAGCCATTACAGTTTTCAATAGAGAGAGATTGAAGTGAGCTCAATCTTTCTAAGCTTTGCTCTGGTAGAGTAATTAAACTAGGACTCTCAGTGATATCAAAATTCTCTAGAACGATCAGATTTGCTAATTTATGAGGCAAACTGTGTAGCATCTCGCCCCAACCAATTTTCAATGACTTCAGAGCTGTGAGTTTCCCCAAATCAGGAGGCAATGTGCGAAGTTTGGGACAAGAGATAACCGTCAAAGACATAAGAAGCGAGCAGTTTTCCAGCAGTACTTTCGGTACAAAAGGTAACTCTAGAAAGGAGTCAATACAAGAGTCAAAAGTGTTCTTAGCTCTGCTGCTGACCTAAGTAACAATAAATCACAATTTTGAACCATTAAGTGTTGAAGAGTTGGAAACCATGGCATTGTTTTCAACAATGGACATTTCATGATGGATGGTCTCTTCAGGCAAGGGAAAGCTTCTGTTGAACCAAGCTTTCCCAAGTTCTTAGTTCTGGAAAGTCTCGAAGGGTTAGTTCATTCAATGATGGAAATGGCCTCATTCCTCCACCGGAGAACTCATTATCGATTTTCACCACGTTGTCCATACCTTGGATGCCGAGACACTTCAGGACTGGAAGTTGGCCAAGCTTGGGGAGAGTTTCACAACTTTTGCAGTTGATTAACTCGAGCTCTGTCAAATTGCTGATTGCATTCAGGTTCATCCAAAGTGGAAATCGGCGTCCTGGATATCCATATATTGACAACCTTCTGACATTGTGGTGTGGCTGAAGTCTTTTCATCAAAATCTCAGAGTTAGCTGTGGTTTGTGTGGTTTGTCTTGATGTGTTTTGATTTAACTTAACTTCATCACCATCACCCCAAAATAGTCCCAACGTGTGAAGTTGCAAATGTTTCAGATAACCTATGCTTCTTATAAGAATAACATTCTCAAGGTGCTTAATCTTCAACTCACCTCGAAGATATTTTAGTTGATAGAGCACAAAAATGTCCTTGCCAGTGATAAATATTGGTAAAGTCTGAAGCCTCTGTAGATAACCAATGAAAGCAGGCAAGCCTTGCACAATCCTTTATGTTTAAATGTCTCAGGTTTACTAACATTATTATTTCTTTGGGTAACTCCAGCAGATCAGTGCATCCTGAGAGATCAAGTGTTTGCAAATTGCACAGATGACCAATTGTCCCTGGTAATGTTTCAAGTGGAGTGTTTGAGAGGTCAAGATATCTCAAATATATCAAATCACCGATGGATCTGTGCATCATTTTGATGCCACTTCCACTCAAATTCAGAATTTTAAGGTGCCTACAACATGAAAGTTCTTTTAGGGCTTTCATTGATATATCTCCAGAAGCCAAGAGGTTGAGGGCACATAATTTATGTGCTCTGTACACGTCTCTTGGTAGCAGATTGGACCTGTAATCACTGTCAACCAATGCATATCGAGTTTCTAAAACAGTTTCTGAAGAAGCGTGAATATCTACTTCGTCTAGATCAAAGCTGTTTTTGTTTCCTATCATCAAGACTTCAGATCCAGCTACACATTTCGCAAGATCATAAATCAGATTAGGTACTTTAAACTCTACCACATTGACACTACTTGCCAGTTGGAAAAATGACATCTTAAGTAAATCGTTGAAGCAGTCATTGCCAATTGCCTCAAGCATGTTGGGATCGTCACCTGCAGACAATTGAACTAAGCCTCCCGCAATCCACTGTTGCATTAGCTTTTCCTTATTTAAATGATTATTTCTAGGAAATATGGCACAGTAAGCAAAGCAACGCTTTAAACGTAATGGCAAGTGATTGAAACTCAACCTCAAGACAGATAATATTCTATTCTCACCAGCATCAAGGTTCCATAGTTCACTTTCTTGCACACGCAACCATTCATCTTCCTCTCTTTTGGACCGTAACAAGCAACCAAGAACTTTAGCTGCTAAAGGCACACCTTGGCACTTGTCTACAATCTGCTGACCAACAGGCAATAGGTTTGGAAAGGCGTCTTCTTCTCCATACAGAAATGCTTGCCGCTTGAACAGAGTCCAACAATCATCTTTGGTTAGTGCTTCCAAAAAATAGGGAGGACTAGTACTAATTACAGAAGCAACTTTTTTGACTCCTAGTGGTGACTATAATTTTACTCCCTTCTGCACCACATCTGAACAGGTTCCTTATTTTATCCCATTCTTCTTGATCATCATTCCACACATCATCCAATACCAGTAGATATCTCTTTCCGCATAATGATTCTTGCAGTTGGGATTGCAGAACGCCCATCTGGAGGGACTCACACCTACGCTAAGTCACATTATCCAAAATTTGACTCAGAAGTTCCTTTGATCTGAATTTGCCATACAAAGAAACCCAAATTTTCATATCAAAATGTCCACCCACACTCTGATCATTGTAAACTAATTGAGCAAGTGTCGTCTTCCCAATGCCCCCAATCCCAACTATTGGAATCGCCCAACTTTCAGCATCAGACGATAATAACAAATCAACAATCTTTTTCACATCTTCGCGTCGACCATAAACTTCTGATTCATTCACGTCAGGTCCAGTTTCACGCTTCTCTATAGTATCTGATCTTTTATAATCTATAAGTTCCCTGAAATGGAAGGTAGACATCTCTCCTGCTATCTCGTCCAATTTTCAACAACCTCTGTCAGTTTACGTGACACTTTAAAGCTACTTAAGATTGATTGAAGAGCGAAAGAAGTGATCCGAACCTGCCTTCGAGTTTCTTCATATATCGATGACTGAATTCTTCTGAGATGGTATTTGACTGGATCGTTCCACTTCCACGATGAATGTTCAACTGGAACCTTTTTTTTCACCAACTGTCCCTGCAAAACTTTAGTGGTGATCTCATCGAAGAGATCATCTGCAGCATAAGCCACAGCCCTAAGCTTTGACAGCCAAATCTTCACCTTCTTATCTTTCAGTTGTCTCGCTTCTGCATTTTCGATTACAGCTTGAATGATTAGCAACTTATCTCGACCTGTAGAAGAGGTGATACAATCAAGGAAGCGACTTCCATTCCTGAAGGAGAGTTGACCCCAAGTTAAGTTGCTGCAAAATACAGGGGCTGGCCTCGGATTCTGAACTACAGCTATAGGTGAAGCTTGTCAAGGTCAAGGTGCAAAAGCGAGAGAGAGTGAGGAGAAGCTTCAGACAGAAGAAGGGTGATCCAGCAAAAATATGGGAGATGTACTTTTCAACATCTGTCCTCTTCATGTGGCCCGGAACCAAACCTTTCAAAAAGATTCCCTCTTAAGCCAAAAATAATCATAAAATAAGGAAAAGGGCCATTTTTCAAACGATAGTAAAAGTAATTTTGACTAGTAACTCGGCAACGATCATATATCGTAAGTTTATTTATAAATTTAATTTTTTTCTAAAATCATCTTACTAAGTATAATATTTTTATGCATTTAATTTTAATCCTGCCGTGTCATACTTTTTGAAATAATTAAAATAATAATATATTTGTTATTAACATACAATCAATTTTAAATGATCAATTCCTTTCTTTTAATATATTTTTTATTTAAAGAGTTAAGTTTGGATTTTTAAAAAAATAAAAAATATTTCTTCTAAATAATATTAAATTTATATAAAATGACTTGTATCATTTAAAACTTAATGAATTTACCCAAATACAAAATGCATTAACCAAACCCAAATGCAAAATCTGAGATAAAAAACCCACTCCAAAGAAATCCAGGACAAGAAAGAAATAGAAATACATTGCACAAGCATCCTACTTCTCTTAATTTCTTTTACTTTCACCATCTCTCCACCAATCTGAAAGCAATAGGCTGATCAAAAGATAGGACCAGCTGCAAGGATCTCCTCTGTCAGCTTGCTGTCTTTTCCAATCTTATAATTCGTGAAGCCCTCAAAGTTTTTCTTGAACAAACCAGCCAACTTCAATAGGGTATCATTGTAAGCCTTCTTGTCGGGCCACTGCAATTGAGTAGAATCTCACGCTTTAGAAAGCTTAGACATCGATCTAGAGACTGGAAGGATTAGATTCAATTAAAATTTATTAAAAGAATAGGAAAGAGAGGAATGGCAACTCACAGTGTTCACAGGGTCCAGGATTTCAGAAGGAACACCCTCGATCTCAGTTGGAATTTCCAGCCCAAATACGTCAGTCTTTTTGTAGTTTGCTTCCAAAAGGCTCCCAGAGTGAATGGCATTGATGATCCTTCTTGTGTATGCTAACTTAATACGATTGCCTGACCCGTAACTGCAGAGCAAGGAAAGAACATTATAAACAAAAATTATTACTCCAATTCAGATGCATGAACTAGATGTTTTACCGTATAGTTACATATTATATATACCTTCCTCCTGACCAGCCAGTGTTGACAAGCCATCCTGTAGCCCCATGCTTTTGCATCTTTTCAGCTAACATTGCAGCATACTTGGTGGGATGCAGCATTATAAATGCTGCACCAAAGCAGGCTGAGAACGTTGCCTGTGGCTCCTTCACACCTTCCTCCGTCCCAGCAACCTGTTTTTCGATAAAGAAAAAAATTGCTTCTTCAACATTTACAATTATATAAATATCATAACGATACTAATTAGTTGATTTTACAAGGATGCGTATCTATGTGGTATATATCTGGAAAAAATGCGGAAGATTTCTTGAAGTACCAGAGCTGTGTAGCCACTGATGAAATGGTACATGGTTTGTGCCAGGCTCAGCTTGCTCACGGGTGGAAGCACGCCAAATGCATCGCAAGCCAGAAGAATGGCATTCTTTGGATGAGGACCAACGCATGGTATCTTAGCATTGGGGATATACTCTATTGGATAGGCTGCCCTAGTGTTCTCTGCAACCAATAATAGCCTCATCAGAACAGTAATTGGCTTGGGACAGTTTCAAATCTATAAACTATTATATAGAGATTAGACATCCACCGAATGTGCTACAGATGTTATAAATTTTATTTTGCCACCCTCATATCCTTTGATACTACCCCGAGCCAAAAAAACTCATCTACTTATATATTCTGGTGAAAAGTTAAGGTATACAAATGACAGAAAAATTCATTCCCTTATGCCATGAATTTCTAGAGATTTATCAAGACATCATTTTCCTGAACATTGAACGCTATATAACTCAAAAGGATTCTGCTTTACCTGTGACAGATTTATCTGAATGATCCACTTCTCGAGTATGCTCGTCAAATACCACGTTCTCTAACACTGGGGAACACAAGCGGTTAAGTTAGACATTTCAACAGATATGAATTTCTGGTGGAAAGCTATTGGTTCACTACTAAGAAGCTAAATCACTCCCATCCATTTAAGCTTATTGCAGAAAATTAATGAAGATGATCGACTTTTACCAGTCCCGAACTTAATGGCATTCCAAATACCAGGCTCCTTCTCCTTCGACAAATCAATGCACTTAGCATAGCAACCGCCTTCTATATTTGACACACCATTCTCGCTCCAGCAATGCTCATCATCTCCAATTAAATACCTGTTAGGATCAGTGGACAGAGTTGTTTTCCCAGTACCTATAACAAAAGAAAGAAAATCAATCAGGAAACACATAACTACCTGCTCCAATTTGCAACGATGGCTCAAAAATACTGTACCTGATAATCCAAAGAAAAGAGCTACATCGCCATCCTTCCCTATGTTGCATCCAGAGTGGAGGGAAAGGATTTGACGCTTAGGCATGAGATAGTGCATTACACTGAATAAACCTTTCTTCATTTCCCCAGCGTACTGTGTGCCAAGAATGACCATCTCCCTCCTGGCAAGGTTGAGGTCTATGCTAGTCGAGGTAGTCATGTAATGGGTGTACCGGTTGCACGGGAACTGCCCAGCATTGTATATAGTAAAGTCTGGGGTACCAAAATTCTCCAGCTCTTCTGGAGTGGGTCGGATGCACCTGTCACCCACCCATTCATCATATTATTGCGTTTCTCCTCATTTCCTCATATTAACTTAAATTTTCATGCTTTTTGCCTAGTCAATTTAACTTAAATTTGAAACAACTGAATCAGACAAATCTGCTATGTTAACATTTTGAGAACAAGCAAATGATACCGGAAAGTAATTTTGTTTCATTACTTACATGTTGTGCATGAACAAGGAATGGTATGCTCTGGCAGATATGATACGGACTTTGATTCTGTGTTCCGGGTCCCAATTGAGAAACTGATCATTGACAAAAACCTGAAACAGATTTCCTGTGTCACCACTTTTCTTCAATGTATATTCTAGGTACTTCAGAATATGCACATTGATATACTAAGGAACATAAGGATTATCCAAGTTAATTGTGCCTAGTCTTGTCTTCTCTTGGGTAAAATCCAAGAGAAAATCTAAGCTGTAAGACTCTTGAGAGAGTCAAAATGCCTTTCTTTCATCAGGTTTGAACGATATAGGGTGCTGGATGGACTGGTTTGTATGGCTTTTGAACGATAAGAGTTGTTGGTCCTGCTTCCCACTCTTACTGATGCCGGTCTCTTGGTCCTGTTTCCCATTCAATCTTTTTCTTTTTGTTTTGCGGTCCTGTCAACCCTCTAAAATGGTTTTCCTCTTACTGAACATGGAGATATGGATCCTATTCCTATATTAATCTTCCAAATGAACCATTCTTGTGGATGATGGCATGCATTCTAGTTTTAAACGAGGGACTATGAAACCATGGAAAAGCTCACAACACAGAGGTATAATAACCATACAAATCATACATGGAATTGGATGTTTAAGACAAGATAGGTTAATTAACTCATAATAGGACGAGAAAAAAAGGAAGGAAAGATGGTTGTCTCCAGCTATGTAGAAGATGAGGATGGGTTATTCAGATACATCAGCCTCCTTGCAGGAATAAGTCAAAAGTATCATTGCGCAACCAGCCATCAAACTTTAGTTTAGGAAACTACAATTAGTTATTATAGAAATGACAAATACCAGTAAAGGGGGAGGGTACAATTAATGAGATCCAAATCCTTGAATTTTGGAATGGATAAGAATCCCAGCTGGATTATAATTTAGTCAAGGAAATATCTTTGGGTCAGAAACGTAGCACTCAATAAGTAAATGGATTAATCCTTATAATAATATGCTCTTCTAGGCAGACTGCCAGCCAATTGACACGTCTTCCCCATGAACTAGAAAGAAAACGGATTATATTATGTAATGAAATCCAGTCTTTGACATGTTGGAGAATGAAGTGCAAATAGGAATAGATAAAGCGGTAAGCAACCGACAACTTAATCAAATATAGAATCAGTGTTGAAAAAATCAACTTTGTGCAATTGAATATACCTTGTCCAAGGAGTTCAAGTAATCGACAGCTCTTTCCCTGTTCACCATAAAAGTATGCTCGTCCATTTCAATGTTGGGTGAGCCTCTGTGAAGGAAATAGATTAGCTTTTAAGACTTTAACCAGTGTGCGAAAAAATTTAGAAAATTACAAGAGGTTTTACCAGAAAGAAAACTTACTTTCCCCACCAAAGTTCATCTTCAGTTGTTTCGTCCTTGACTACACGTTTGTCTCTGGGTGATCGACCTGTCTTTGCCCCGGAAAGTGTGGCTAAAGCACCGGTAGATGTTATGAATGACCCTTTTTCGTACTTAATAGCTTGCTCGTAAAGTTCTGTCCCATATTGAAGAAAATATTAGGTTACGAAATCCCAGTGTAACTTGTCAACTCATTCCTGGGCTTTTCCGGGTCGATTAAGCCCTTAAAGGCCAACTTGAAACTTGAAATACAACAAAGATAGCAAAGAAAACAGAGGAGAGAGAACATTACCTACCACGGCAGGGACAGATTGTAAAGGACATGAGTAGACTTGAGCGCGCTATCACTGACAGCGATCGTTGGAGTAAAATGGTGAACATGGGTCACCTTGGGAGTCTCATGCTTCCTCGCAGGGTCGCCTTTCACCACCTTTGGACCAGTCTCTCTCGTCAGGGATGCCAAAGAAGCACTGTTCCATAATTTACCGGCAAAATTAAGCCAAATAATAATAATAATAATAATGCACCCATATATGATATCTCCAACCAAAAAGGCTTACGACGACTCATTCCTTTTGTACCTGATGGATTGTAGCTGCAGCTTTTGGCGTTCTATTTCTGAGATATTGTTGGCAAAAGCACCCTGAGTGTCAGTAAGGGGTGTAGTTGGAGCAGATTTCTTCTTCTGAAGAGAGTGAAGCTCGTCGATTGTCTGAGCTTTTACAGG